AAAATTTTGACCACAAAAAAAATGTTTCCCTTAAAAAATTTTTATAATTATATTAGTATTTTTTTTTTACAGTAAATTTTAACTAAAACAAATCAAATAACTTGTAAAGTTAAGATTTACTAGGGTTCCCTGTCCCTTCTTATACATTTAAGTTTGGAAGCAGTCGAGAAAAACATTTAAATATCACATGATAATTTAAAAAGTATTTGTTTTTAATTAAAATTCCACGTGCACGTTGTGTCGACGCTCACGTCACGATGTACTAATGTCACCGTTTTGCATATTATATTTTATAATATCAAATACATAATATTATGAACACACATTGTGTGTTATTATAATGAGTTTTTTTTTCTTAATATGGCATTTTTTTTTTTTTTGGCACGGTAAATCGTGTTGGGATATAACCTTGGCCCAAAAACTGACGGTCGCATTAAAAAAATTGGCATATCAAGCGCGCATTTTTTTTTTGTTGTATTAATTGTATTGTTGTCGCTTATTTAAAAATATTTAAAAAAAAAAAAAAAAATTTACATTGCAAAGGAGGTGTGAAAATGATTTTTTTTGGAAGGCAGGGGGGGTGTATCATATAAAACAAATTATGTATTATATATATATTTTTCAAAGAGCTGCACATTTTTTATATCAATGTGTTTTAATTATAAGCTCCAAATTTAATAGTAATATATGTTCTATTATTATAATGATAATTAAAAAAAAAAAAAAAAACAATCACAAGCGTCGCACCGCCCATTTTTAAGGAGTAAAGTGTAGGCAATTTTTTACAAAATCTTAATTTGAAAGTTAAACTGTGATGTGTAATTATTAGTTCAGTATCTAAGACTCTATTTTGGTAGTTAATTTATTTTTTGGACTATCACAGCATCCTTGAAAGCGATTTAAAAATGTTCTTTCATCTCTACTTGTTTAAGTAGACTGAAAATAACTCGCTTAATTTTGGATTTAGAGTAAAAGCACCCATTATAAAATTAAAAGAGAACAATATTTCGGTGCGTTTTTTTCATTATTCTAAGTATAGCGCTCAATACATAGTTTAGAAATAACGACTATTTTAACATTTTTAAATGACTGTAACTTTTCAAAAAATGTTTTTTTTTTTTAACGCACCGTCTTGCCCTCCGGAATATTGTTTTCTTTTAATTTTGATAATGGGTGCTTTTGCTCTAAAACCAAAATCAAGCGAGTTATTTGCAGTCTGCTTAAACATGTTTTTACCACTGAGTTAAATTCACTGGCAAGTACCATACAATGTACTATTAGTCGCACATATATAATATGTGCTAAAAACCAGTTAAGTACAAACGTGATCGTAATACGATAGACAATTGTGTACTTTTTATTTATTGCTAGGCGAGTGTGTTTTTATATTTTATCGCTGCGGTCCTACTCGGTTGTTCGTCGAATTGTAAACGACGGCTTAGTGTTAATATTAATAGAGTTTTTGACGTTTTCGGCGTCAAACGAAAATATTCAATTAAACAAAATAGCGTTGTACACACAAGAAACCATAAACAATCAATGTGGGTTAATGTATGACGTCAGTGTAGTGCGGTTGCAGCACACGGACCTCGCCGCGGGTCGTGCCGTACAACATTATGTTTCCCAAGTGATAATATATTTTATTATTAATTATAATATTATTGTGTACGTATATACTGTTGCTAGTTAATTTTACATTTACACGTGTCGGGAGGAGATAATTTAAACAACACTAAGTTTTTTTTAAATATATATATAGCCTTTATTATATAACATTTAGCTCGACAATTATGGAGTACATAATAATAATATAAATAACGCTAGGTTACCGGTCGATTATATGTCTACAATAATAATAGGTATTATATTAAGACTATCTGGGTGACTTCAACACACTACAGCCGACCGGGCGTTAAAGTCTCCACCTAGCAAACGTCTACGCTGTCAGACCACAGTGATTTCCTTAAACGTTTAATAATTTCTATAATAAAGTCGTTCACCGCTTGTGTACCGGTTTCTTGCTTTGGTCATTAGTCGAATAATAATTATGGGCCACGATGAGACCGGACAATAGCAGCTAGTTAAAACTGTTAAAATGTATTATGTTTTTGGGCTTGCTAAACGCGTGTACCATCTTCATTTGTCCGATGTTTTGTATAACAATGTGAATGTGTTTGGAAAAATAAATTTAACTTTTAAAGAAAAAGTCGATAATTGCCAAGATTTTTTTATAATAAAAAAAAAAAGAAATATGGCAGGCAATATTGTGTAGAAAAATCATAATGATAAATTTTGATAAGCGATTGAGTTGAAAAACTAAGTTTGAGAATATTTTATTTTTAAAAACCAATCTTAAATTATAACAGTTATCAAACACAGTGCGTATAGTAACGTTCACTGTTCAATTTGTTTTCACTATTCTAAAGGTCATCAACAAAACAAAGGGTTGACGTTGGTTTCTCGGGTTTTCGCTGTGTACTGATCAAGTCAAATAGGATTAAGCGTTCCGAATTTTAACTTGAGAAGTCATTTTTCGTTTTACATTATCCAAAAGTACAGCTACTGTGTGAGTCGATAAATAGAATGCTAATGAGCATCGAGTGGATATTTTTTAATCATATTAAACATGTTTCCGAAATGTAAATCATAAATAGTCTAACTGTGTAAAAAAAAAAAATGTATTACATTATTTTCATTGTTATTCTTTTTTTCTCTCTAGCGGAGAGTGTGTTATTTTATGGTTGAGGGTGTTTTATCTGTTATTTTATTCTTACTTTCTTTGATTATTTTTGTTCTTTTTTGTATGTATATATTTTTTTGTAAAAAAATTATTATTTCTGTACTTTCTGCCTTTCGGTCTTCAATAAATACATCATTATCGGTAGTAGTATATCTAAAGAGTAGACGTCTCAAACATTTTTATGGAAGTAAATAGACTATTTTTAGAGAAGCTAAATCGATACTTTATTTTAATCTTTTTTTTCGTTTTAAACGAAAGTCGTGTCATTAACTCGACGTTTTCGGTCTGCCAAACACATCCGGCAACTCACTTCGTTTGCCCAGTGGTTATTATACGGCCGTTTAAGAATTTTGATTAATAGCTTTACTCATCTACACGGACCACATTATCGCTACCGTAATGGCTTATTTGTTATGCCCGACGGTTAGTTTTGAACTCTTAAATTTACATTTAAATTACTAGCTTTTTGTGTTACTATTATTATTATTACTATTCCTTCGTCTTGCCTACGATGTGGCCAGGCCAAGTTACATAAAAATCAAACGCACACATTAAACGGCCCTCGTTTTGCGCAACGTTCACAAGCTGTTCAAACTGGTTTGATTTTTTTTTATTTATCATACACATGTCCGGGTTGATACATTGTGTACTATCAATTTACTTCGGCTATATTATGTCATTATCTAACGCTTTTACGTTTAACATACTTTTGTAACCATCCGAAACGGTTAGAGAAACATTTCCAATGCACTTCAAATGCTTAATAGCTATTACTTTTATGTGTATACAATATGTTATAAACTACATTTACCGAATACCCGCTACTACTTTGTTGCCTAATGTTATGTAAAAACCTACCGACGTCGGTTTGACACCGGTCGGTTAACGACAAATCCTTGTTATTATTAAAATGATATTGTTAATTCAAAAATATACTCGAATGCCTTAATTTACATGTCAAGTTGTAACGTATACCAAATTGCTTTGCCAAATTGACCGAAATTTAAAATTAATTTTATGTAAAAAACCAAACTGTATAAATTACCGAACCAAGTATTGGCAAGTGTAGTTACTCTAAGTAAATAAAAAAAATACCTACTGCTATTTAAATTCTAGTCGTTCAGATAGAAACTACCGGGAATATAATATATTAAGCATAATATTAGTTTGTAATCAAGGACCCAAAGAGTAATAAACTTTTTGGAATACATTTAATTTTAACAGTTTTAAATAAGATCTAAAAAAAAAAAATCAGAAATTAAAATTGTTTAAAAAAAAATGTATTATAAACAAAGAGAGTCTTGTATTAACTATTGTCATTTAAATAAATATAAATTTAGCGTTTTTTAACATTTTTATAATTGATATTATTGGTAACATGGTTTGCCTTTTATAACCTTGTTCTAAAACCTTTTTTTAACGTTAAAATTGTGTGATGACAAATTCTTTAGTCGTAAATAAAATGAATCCAGAATAATAGTTTTTCAAGCAACAACTTTTATTTGTATTTCTAATTATCATAGTATTGATATTTTCACATTTTCAGTGATAACTCTGGAACGAGCTCAGATCTTTTGATTTTTTACTGTAATAATATAAACATCAATAAAAGATTACCTTTTGTTTGTTCGGTATGCAACACCTACGAGAGAGTTATCTTTGAATTTTTAATCTTTTTTTCGCCAAAAATAAATGTAGAATATAATCAGTGATTATATTCATATACACTTTCGAGCATTGCACAACTGATGAATATATTCATTATATGAGGCGTTTAGAAGCCAAACTGTTTAACTCCATAAAATACAATTTTTCCGGACAGGCAGTTAAAGTTATTTGAAACGATGTATGTAAGAACAATTGCCAATGTACTTAGCGCACTCTAGTGGTGAACAATTCACCTATGGAGTTATTTATCTGATTTTGTGGCTCTTATCAATCATCTCTTATCAGTTATATATAAATGGGCTCTTGTGGGAAGAGATAAAATCATGCCAGACGTTTCTTGAGAAATGGATAGTGGTGGTAGTTGTAGGGAAATTTTCATTTTTCGTTCATTCCGGCTAAACTGTGTTCAGTCGACAAACGTGAAAAACGGCGGCGTAGGCCATTCAATAAATGAACAGTGTATGCCATGAATCAGGAAATATCTGCGTTCTGGCATCACTGCCTATTTTTCAATATGGCTTATTGTTTTTTATATAAACTCTAAGATTTCATTCTGTGAATATACAACCATGGTCGTCGTTTGATTTTACAGATACTTTGGACTGCCCTGTCGTTTGCGCTGGGATACGAAATCGGCGGCAACGTGATCCGCGGTACGCCGTGCATTAAGAAAAACCACCAACTCTTTTGCCCAACTGCGGGGAAAAGTTACCCAGTGTAAGTAAGTAGTAGCTGGCTACCCTTCTTTTTTTCTTTTTTTTACAGTCTTACCGGTTGTTGACGGCGAAATTTGGATTTTTATTGAATATTATTATTATTAGCATTTGAGTTTTATTTATTTTTAGTGACCCTTACACACCCACATAGTACACACATAACACACTAATTCACCACATAGCTCTCTGGTTTTGTGCAGGCGATCCCTTCCCACTTCCAGTAGAGCTATTTACAAATTACACAATCATAAACGGATCGGTAATAGGGGCGGTTGGTGACCGGGTAAAGCGACCTATTATTGTTTGCCCTCGGCCCGTTCAAAGGTTGATCTAATTAATTGGCTAATTGTAATTTTCCTGTCCGATTTAAGTGATCGAATTGAGAAATTTATCGACGAGAACAAAGCGCTGATGAAACGGATGTACGGCGATTTCGAAATGATGGAAAACGGACCGTTTCCCAAAGCCAAACGGTCGACGGCCCGAAAGAGAAGACAGGACAACGGTGGATTCGCCGACGATCAAACTAAGGCCAACAAGCTGCCGACCAAAGGACAGCCGGCAGACTCCGGAAGGTACTTGCGTTCAATAGATTTATCATCATTGTTTTTTTTATAGCATACCTACATTAGATAGAACGAGATGGCGCACTTGGTCATTTATTGATAACAGAGAAACCCTCCTCGACTTGGTGCGACCACATTCTACGAATTTTGTTTTTCTACCTGTGGCTACTCTGAGTTGAGGAGGGTTTTGGTTTATTTACATTTCCATTTCGTTTTAATAGGGAGTGCACTATCTGGTTTTATCTAATCCGCCGTGTTAAAAAAAGCCCACGGACAAGCGGTGCTATACCCCAAAACGTCGACCCTTTTTGTGTATAGGCCAAATCCTTTGATTCTGAATTCTTCTACACTTGACCGTTTGTTATAGCCACCGGAATTCCTACAAAAACGGGTACCTAGTCTCCGATTGCATTATTTCCCGACGAGGTACTCGGGGAACTAGAGCAGATTCAATAAGATCTTACTACAAAAATATCCAAACATTTATTAGGTGTAGCTATTGATTATATGTTATAATCAAACATTGGACCTGGACATGTCTTATCAACTGATTCACCTATCATTGATGTCTTATCAGTTGTCTGGGGTCAATCATTTACCAAACTGATTTCGCCCTATAATACTGACCCCGCTCAAAGATCTATAATATTATATATACACTAATCCTTATTCACTTAAAGCGTTATTACTATATGAATGAACATAAATACTACATAATAATATGTTGTGATGTATTTTTTTGAAAAGTAATAACCGTTTCGCTTTTTTAGAATAGACTCGTGTGAATCCAAAGTGGAAGTGGTCACTCCTTATTGGGCTTCTAATAGCGTGGGCAAGACTAGAGCAATTGTCAACACCGAACATTTCGAACAAGCCATTCACCAAGAAGTTTGCACGTGAGTACAGTTTTGTATCACAGCCAAATACAAAATATATATTTTGTCCTCGAATAATAATAGTATATCGTTCGTGATCAATGACATCTGTTTTTTTCTCTTGAACTATATACCGGACGATTCTTTTAACGCCCTACACTTGTATTTACTCTTAAAATAATTACAATTTTATAGTGTTGTTTCTTTTTGGAACACTTTTATTGATGCTATAGTAAAATATTGAAATTTTTATCTTTTTTAGAATTTAGAGCTCTATCAACTTATAAAACTTATAAATAAATGTTTTTTCGTGGAGTTGAAAAAATATCGGTTTTTTTTATTTAAAAGTTGATAATATTCCCATATCTACAGATACGCATCAAAGCGTTTATTTCTGTTGTAATAATTAATATTCTCCAACATATTGTTCCATCCCCACTATGGCCAGACCTACCTTTCTTACCATATATCTTTTAGCGTGGCACATGCTTTAGTCTTGGCCCCCAGCTCGAAAACGACACGAAACAGCGTCACGAAAGTAGCGCAAAAGTGGCGCGATCTAGCGGTTATATATATATATATATATATATATATATATATATATATATATATATACTATATAAATGTATAAAATGTCTTGAGGCAAGTTATTTGAGTTTTTAGATCTCGACAGTTATTATATTATATTCAGTGCATCAAATACCTAAATTATTTGATTGTTGTATAAACTTTGTATTGCTTACTTATTCATAGCCATATTTTATACAATAGATAAATTGATATACATTCATATTGTTTAAAGTTAACCATAAAAGGCAGAAGTCGACAAATCCATGTATCGATATATTTTTTAAAACGTGTCACCAAATATTCATCCTAATAAATGAAATAAATAATTCCACAATGAGCACAACAATCAAATGAACGGTTAATTTGGCCAAATATTAAATGGCTATTAAAAAACATTTGGCCACAACATAAAATTAAGACTATTCGTCAAGTACATTGCAAGGAGATTATATATTGGAAATCATCATTATTCGATTGCCAGCAGACTAAAGCGTGTTCCATGTTTTTATGATTTTAACCGTTAGGTTTAAGTAAGCTGTAACTATAATTTTTTTTTTTTTTTAATTTTCATTACAGCAAGACACTGACGTCTCGTTGTTCCGGCGACTGTGGCTGTGAACAAAAATACAAATGGCACAGACTGTTGGCCTATGATCCCGACAACGATTGCAAAGGCATATTCATGGATTGGTTTTTGTTTCCCTCGTGTTGCGTATGCCGATGCGATCCGACAGTGCTGGCAACGTCCAACAACGGTTGAATACTTTGCTATTAAAATACATTTTTAAGTAAAAATTGTTTATTTTTTTCCATTGTACACAGTACACATTGCATTCCGACTGGATGTTCTAGTGGGTGTATTTTAAGTAAAGCGTAAAAATACAAATTAAAAAAAAAGAAAATAATTAAAATTACCCGCAAGTCCTTTTTTTTGTTTATTTTGTATACAAGTATTCTTCACCCGTAAGTGGTAACATTTTTCATTTGACAAAAAAAAAAAAACAATTATTATTATATTTATATATAGAACTAGGTATTGTTTTTATGTATAAAAAGAGTGTTGTTCGAACGTGAACAAGAAATGTTCGTTTAGAAAAATAATACTGCATCACTATGTATTTGTATTAGGTGTATAAGTAGTATTAAGTTATCTAATTTAAGGAATGGTAACGTGAAAAAAACAATTGTTGTTGTTGTTAATAAAATGCGTTTCTCGTTGCTTATTTTTGTTCTCGCCCAAATGAAATGTGGGCTTTTTTCGAATTTATAAAATAATTATTAAAAAAAAAAATACAAACATATTTGGCACAAAGCGTGGTAACGCCAAGCCTAGAAACAAACTTTATTTGTCAATAATTTGTTGTTGTACAAAAAAAAAATTGCAATTAACGTGGCTCATAATCAATGAATTTAAATGACAAAATCTGTACCCGAGAGAGTTAAAAAAGGGTTCGAAATAATTTTTCCTTGACGGGTAAGTGAGGAAACGAAAGGTGAGAGACGGAATGAGAAGATATGGATAGGCTAGCGATAAGAGTAACCTAACCTAACACCTTATACTCTAAATTTGACTGATTTTGTACTAGTAAAACAAAATTTTTTTAGGTAATTATGTAAACCTCTTTATGTAATTGAAAAAATATTTAAATACGCCTTTAAAATTGTTTCAAGTATATTATGCAAAATATGCTTTTATCCAAAAAAAGTGCATTAATATACTTTTTTTTTTATCCGTATAATTCATAGACTTAAGTATGAAATATACGGGAAAAAAAATATATACTCCTTATATATATCCCTTTAAAAACATAATGCATAATGACTCGTAGCTTCATGTTATATAAAAAATAAAAATATTGTTTTTAGGCATTTAAAAAAAAATCGAGAAACATGATTTCACCGATACTTTTTTTTTAGCAATTTTTTGAATACATATTTATGCAAAATAATCTTTTTCCCATGCGTTTTCTTTTCTTGATTCCTTTTCTTGTCTTATTTAATATTAACACAAAATCCGTATTGATATGTTTTAGTATTGAATTTTTTTTCTGCTGTTCTTACGGAAAAATTTAACTTTTTCATTTTTTATATCTTAAAAAACTTGTATTATTAGTTAAAATTTCTAAAATTCTAGAATATCTAATGAAATACAAACATTAAATATATTTTATTACTTATGGAATTTGTATTGGAATTTGAGCCATAATATTATTCAACACCTATGAAACCTAGATACCTGTTTAATTGTATACAGATTGTTTTTGTTTATAAACATTTTTTTAAAAATACCTTCGTAATCTTTTTTATAATTAAAATAAAAATACTTTTAATATTCAACATGCTCAAATATTTTAGTTAAACCTTTGTTAACAACTATGATTTTTTGTTAGTTGATATATATAAAATATATATATCAATATTTATATAAATAGTAGGTTTTCTGTTTTTAATATATTTAATAATATATATATATATATTAAATAATATTATACGTTATCATTTACACGTTACCGGATAAATATAATAATTAATAATACTAATTACGTGGTAGTCGTAGTATATTAAACTCATTTGAATTGCATAATTAATATCATTAATAGACAATAAAATATTATAACATTACCTGGTAATAATGTTGTGTAATAAACAGATAACCATTACGATTAGGTCATAATATTATAATAGGTATAGGTATATATTAGGTATAATCATTCTAATAATATTTTATTACACAGCAGCAGCTATATTATATAGCTACTCTACTGGTCGCTTTTGGTGGGAAAAAAAATTGGAGGCACATTTTGTTATCACGTTTAACCTTCAGGATCTTTTTTTTTTTTTTTAACTGCTTATCTACGAACCGCTGATTATATTTTAACCTCTTTCCGACACGATGTGCATAATAGGTATGAAATTGTGTCGATATTTTGAAAGTTGTCCACAAACCACATCCGCAGATTCCACACAGGACCGTGTACTGTTGTAATATTATTATTGTACAGGTAATTTTTTTTAGAAATTTCTTACAATTATTATTTAAATAATTACCGCGTGATTACTACCGTTGTGAATTTCGTTTAACAGTTTTTACAATTTTTGTGTCACCATTTTTTTTAGCACCGCCGCCACTTTTGTAGGACAAGTCTACAATAGTTCAATACAGGTTTTCTGTCCTGTTTTGTGTGTGTGTGTCCGCCCAATCCAACATTAACCATGCCGCCTCTGGCCAACGCAGCCGTAAAAATCCAATCCGATGCGGACGGCGTCAAGTTACCCGGAGTCAACGCCGTTCTGCTCGGTCCACCGGGTTCCGGCAAGGGAACGCAGGTCGGTCATTTAATCGCTATGCTCAAAACAACAATGTACCCACACACTACTCGTGTATCGTAAATTTTACGATGACAAAACCGAATGAAGAATAATTGAAAAGGTAATAAATTAATATACTGTTTGCGTGTACCTAGGCCCCGAAGCTATTGGAAAAATTCTACCTGTGCCACCTGTCGACGGGCGATATGTTACGGTCGGAAGTGTCGTCGGGATCGGATCTAGGCAAGAAAGTCAAACAAGTCATGGATTCGGGTGTGTATGAAAATTTAATTTACCATTGGAATTTTTATTCGACCCGCGAGCGATTAAAAAAAGACACAACTCTTGGTTTAGTCGATTTTTAAAAGGGCGTTCCCTTCGCCAATTGACATTATAATTTGAAGACTACAATACGTGTATGTCACTACTCTAAATTCAATCCGATGATGCCGTATGTAGTTTTTTATTGTGTACTCTTGTCGGTGAATTTTGTATAAACTATGTTCTAAATATGTCGGTAAAATTAAAAATTCTAAGAATTTTGTTACGGAAAAACTATAGATACATGTCGTTGATGTTAGTGTGCAAACTATTTTAACTAAAAATTTAAGCCGTACCCCATTTATATTGTGTAATACTCATGTGTACAAACAATAATGCAACGTAATCCGTCGCTTTAATTAAAGTATATTGATTGAATCAGTTTAAAAAAAAAATGTGTTTTATTAGGTACCTATTACTCATTATTAGATTAGAGTTGATGAAAGGTATGTTGTAGTTAATAAAGTGGACCAGTGGAAGACTGAGGAATGCTAGCAGCAGATTAAATTTACAAGAAATTCTAGACGTTACGGTCGTTTATCTAACTTTATATAATTACATTTAAATTACACTTCCTATCGTTTGTGTCGACAAAATTACCCAAATATTTTTCTAAAATTAAAGTAATCAAATAAATTACTGTCCCAACAACATAATTAATATATAATAATAATTATCTTGGCGTTCTTTCTCGTGCAGTTATTATTTCTACTGTATATTCACATAGATGAGTTTGTATTATATTAAATTATTTTCAACTAAAACAATTTTTTTTAATACATATTTTTTATTGTGTGGTAGCAAAAAAAAAAAATCGCTAGATTAAATTAAAAAAATATATTTTTTATCATACGACGACAGCCTGTACTTAATTTTGCTTGTATTCTATTGATTTCCAGGCGCTTTGGTCAGCGACAGTCTAGTGGTGGATTTAATCGATCGCAACTTGGACAGACCGGAATGCAGGCAAGGATTCTTGTTGGACGGTTTTCCGCGTACCGTCCCCCAAGCAGAAAAAGTAATAAAACGACCATTTCTACGTTTCGGCACTACGTTGTCGTTAATAATAATAATAATAATAATGATTAATTACTAAAAATGAATTCCAGTTGGATCAGCTGTTGGAAAAGCGAAAGACTCAACTGGACTCCGTAGTTGAATTCAACATCAGCGATAGCCTATTAGTTAGTCGCATCACCGGCCGTTTAATACATCCGGCTAGCGGTCGGTCGTACCACACGGAATTCCATCCGCCGAAAGTCAACATGAAAGACGATGTGATTATTATTTTCCATTTTTTCTATTCCGATTTCGTGTTTTTACGTACATTTTATAATTATTATCCAAATATGTTGTACTGTCTCCGCAGGTGACCGGCGAACCGTTGATCCGTCGCAACGACGACAATGTAGACGCTTTGAAGAAACGTCTTCAGGCATACCACCAACAAACGGCTCCGTTGATAGATTACTATCAGAAAAGAGGTGAGTGACCAAATTGGTTTGGCCGTCGTCGTATAATAACTTCACATCGACTTTCAGGCATTCACGATAGAATCGACGCTTCCAAGAGTGCGGACAATGTGTTCAAAATGGTGGAAAATATATTTTTACGCTGTTCATTGTCGGCCAACAAAGACAGAGTGATATTTGTTTGAATCGCATTCCGTCAGCAAAATGTGCTGCTATTGTGTTTATAAAAAAAAAAATGGACAATAACATTATTTTTTTTTTGTAAGTTACCGTTATTATAAAAATAATGATAACGCAAATTAAAAAAAAAAATAATAATAATCGATCTGAAATATTATTAAACGGTATTATATAATTGTAATCCATTATTAGTTATAGTTATTGGTTTTACGGGCGTAACCACTGCGATGGTCTTTATTATATATAGCAATTATAGTAAAATAATAATAATTATTATAACAATTAAGTATGTTCAGTGCATTTAAACGAGTACGCAGTGCTTGAAAAAATATCAAATGAGAATTTTTGTCTAGTATCGACAAACGTTTGTCGATCTCACTAACTGTTCTATTTCTATCGCCATTAATGTTTTTTTAAACACATATCGGTTACCTTAAATAATATATTTTTCTACAAATTAAAAATATTCTCAAGTGTTAAATTTGTTATTTAATAAGATATTTCGCATCGAGCGAGTCGTCGTGGGTCTACTTAAGAATTAAGCGACTGGCGACACGTACACGGCTGTTGTAAAAGTTATAAAATTTGTTTCTAAAATTAACGTGTATCTTTATTGTTTTACGATGTGTCATTAATTTTAATATAGATTACTTAATAAATAATGATAATAATACGGTCCTCGGTACTTACTATCTGTAAGTAGTATGTAGAAAACAAAAAATAAAACTATTGGTTGTTACAATAGGGTGTTTTTTTTTTTAAGTTATTAGACTACTATTTTTATCGATTTTATTTTATACGTTAATAATCTAAAAGGAATATAAAGACTGTGGGGGGGAACAATTGTTGCGAATGATAGAAAAGATACAACGGTTTTATTTGTAGTTTTTTTTTTTATAGATTAACAAAAGTAATATTTATCTAAATATAATATAATAATAAATAGTATGTACTTTACGTAAATATAATAATAATAATAATAATCCATGTGCGTTTTCTTACGCTTGCCCAACGGGTGTATGGTTCATACGTCAAAACCGGTAACAAATTGGCCAATTTGAGCGGAATATGTGTTTCAAACGCAAATTTCCTATTGCCGCTTAACACAAAAACAATTTATACAGTCCATAATAATTGTTTAAACGTATGTAATGGGCGACTCCAACAACAATGGTAATCACAGACTATTCGATTATGATTTTGAGTTTTTTTTTTACTTTTCGTTACTTTCCGACGGGTCTTCATCAATAGAGACGGTACTGGTTTTTCTGGAATTGCTAATAACAAATACGGCACATACACGATTAGAACGTTGACCCTCCGATGTACAATTAGAGTTCAATTAATCAACGGGCGACTTACGATTTATTCGAAGACGACGACGCCAATGACAGTAGTACAGACACCTGTTCGGACGCTGGACACTCGATCATCTGTTGTTCGTCTTTGGTGTAGTTGGTCGTCAAGAACTGTTGGATTCTCGTGAACATGTGCAAAATATTGTTCTGAAAAAAAAATTAAAAGTCCCAACGCGGTTTTAGCGACGGCGACTTTGGCAAATGGAAATATTTTGTCGCGTCTCACCTTGATCGGCCTGTACAAAACCAACTGGGTGTCTGCGTTGGCCAAATACAATGCCATGCTTTGCTGTAACGCGGGCAACGTCTTTTGGATTTTCACCAGAGTGTCTTGGACTTTTTCTCGTATGGCTTTGGGTTGCGCGAACTCTTGTTGCTTGACGATGGCCGGCAATCCTTGCATGTTGCACCATTTCACATACTTTTGCACCTGAAAACGGGCAAAAACAAACCGCATTAAAAACGCTTGTCACTCGACCGAACCCGTCACCACCACACAAACAAACCTCGTCCAGGAACATGGCCAGAGGCGATATTATAGCGTTGGAAGAGTGACCGATAAACGACTGACAAGAATCTTTCAACGTGAGATCGACCAATCGTCTGGAGTCGACCGAGTTTTCCTGTACGACGGGCGTACCCTCCAGCAGGAATTCAATAATCGAGTTGCTCGAGCTGAGCGTGAACATCTTATCGTGTTTTTGAATCAAGCCCCACGCTAGAAATTCCAAAAAAAAAAAAAGTTATATACACCTGAATATTATAGTTTTATCAAGACAACGCAATTTTTGTTGGTTTACCGGCGTTTCTCATTTTGCTAAAATCCAGATTTAATTCTCTGATGGTGAAATCCACTTGAAACGGAGCGATTTGTTCTCGGATAATCAACAAATGTTTAATTTCAAACAAAAACCCGTCGGTCGGACTCTGAAAAAAAAAAAACAAAACAAACACAATATGATAACGTGACCAACTACTTTACGTCGACTCGTTGTTTATTTTTAATAAAAAAAAAAATATCTACCTTTCTCGACGATATCGTCAAGGCGGCCAGGTGAATATTTTTCAAACACAACGTGACTGCTTCGTGAGAAAGACTTTGGAAAATAGTTTTGTCCACGCATCGGTACAGACGAGACAGACACATCAACGTGCGTCTGACCGGAGGATACCACATACCGTGTAAATCCGCTGCCGACGTCCAGCCACCTTGATCGAATAATAATCAATTTACGTACAATCGTTATAAGGGCTGACAGTGTGTGTAAAAAAATACACATTAGACCTGTTCTTAAAAAATTGTTTTCCACTCATTTCTCAACTAACAACCGCACAATTTGTTTAAATAAGCAAAAAAGTTTAATAATTTGGGAATAGTTAATTTTTTTTAATATTAGTTGACCATTGTGTTTTGGACGGCAAACTGGAGAAAACCTCAGTTTCAGTAACAATCATTATTAATTAATTATTGTAGTTGACATGCTGACACTATTCGCTATTCGTCCGAACCATTTTTTTAAAACGGGTCTAATTTATATACTATGTACACACCGACAGATTGTTTGGACATGGCCGAAGGAGCTTCAGACACGGACGAAAACAAGCTTGCCGTTGAATCATGCCTGGTCAGTTGTCGGTATTGCATTTCTTCGGCAATCGCTTCCATTTGTTTTAGCTTCTCGGGATACGCCAAATCTCCGGGCGACGGCTTGTAATCGGCGATATCCGTAACGAAATATAAATTCGCTCTGAAAACCAAACGCTCTTGTACATCTTGCAAGAGCAGTTCCGCTACGGATCCGAATACTTCCAGAGATGCTAAATAAAATATGTATACAAAAAATTATATCACAGTAATTGTAGATTTTTTTGTTGTCTACTCACCGTCCTCGTAGACGTAGTCTTGTAATATTTCTATCCGCAAAATGGTACACAGTTCGACGAGAGTCTCGAAATGTTTCATGTGTATCACAAGCGGCCTTAGATAGTCGTACAAATTCATGCAGACGGCTTCTAAATATTCTCTACGTGACAACACAACAGATAATAATACTTATGCACTTTTCAATACGGACACCAATTAATTTAAGAGTTTTGCTTTTTACCTGAACACTTGCGATTTGTCGGTGAAAAAACATTGGTACAGGCGATTTTCGTCGTGCGTCAGTTGTATGAGAATTTTGCAAGCCGATCGCAGAGTCGAACAGTAATCGTTACCGCTGGAAGTGTACGTGGCCAGCGTACTGCTTATGGACGTCCCGAGAAGTGCTTTGCGGCGCGTTATGTAAGCCGAAACGCATTGGTCTAACGACGCGACGTACCTACGGAGGAAAAAAAAACATACGTCTACATCAAAACTCAAAAGCCAAGACGTCGGACAAGAAAAAAACACTTACGCCGGATCGACGGTCACCCTGTTCTCGATCAATTCTAGGACGGGACGAATTTTAGTGGCTATTGCTTGGAATTTACCGTAGTGCGCGATGAATTCCATCGAATCCAAGTTCTCCGTGCCCGTCTGCAAGCACTGCGACACATAAGTCTGTACCAGCGACAGAGCCTTGTACCTGGCGTTGACGTACAGCGCAAGATACTTGTTGCTCTCCTTGTACGAGGTCTGAATCGACAACAAAGACACGTAAGTTTGACACCTCGGCTAAAACACCACAATCACTCACGTGGGCTGTTAAATAGCTAATACCGTCGTCGATGGAACTCATCATGTTGGCAAACATTTCACTGGTGACGATAAACGAGGACGAGTCCAATTTCGATTGAATAGTTTCGACAGCGTTGAATATCGTTAGACGTTCGTTGATTTCATGACAAATTTTACTCAAAGACATCTGGCGAAGGTAAAAACAATACACACAAGTAATAAGTATAGATGAATACCTAATTAATGATAAATATAAAATAACAAAATTATGGTACTCGGTCCGTGTGCAGTTCTTCTCCGGCCAAGTACAACGAATTGGTCTTTTTGGACACCTCGCTGTATTTCTCTTCCAAAACATCGATAAGACGGGTACACTCGTCCATCTAAAGCCGAATGTTATTATTAATAAAAAATCGTTTTGTGTCAAATTGACAAAATAAACAGAATTTATTTTTTATACAATTACCTTGGATAACATTTCTTGCCAATCTTGCAGCTGATTGCCGAGTTCGTCGGCAAGCCGCATTGACGGTTTAACGTCAGCCGACATCCAAGCTTGAGCAATCTCATCGTAAAATTTAAAAAACTAGAGCGAAAACAAAATCCTTAGAACGAATTCAATTTAAACAATATCAACGGTGGACGGTACACAGGAAGAGTGATCAAATTCAGTTTTATTTTTTAATCATTCATAAAGTTCTATAGGTACTACTTACATCTTCTGTAGATACGATATCTCTGTTTAATATGTCGGCTTCTCCATCCGTATCAGCCGTCATTTGGTTTTCGTCATCGCCGTTTTTCGACTGAAATATCATACAATTTATGTTATACACTTTTAAATTGGGTCGTGCCAATTTATGCAACACAGACATATTTTATATTATTATAGGCAAAACGCCGGCGACGCGGCAAGCCCGTGTCAGTCTGCGGAAGCGAACAGTGTTTGGTTTATACTTACATGGCAATCGGTGTCGTTCAATGGCAGTTTTTCTGATAAGCTCAAACAAACATCGAGTTGCGACGAACTCAACGGCGCTAGAGGATTTTCCTCGGCTTCCCATTGTGCTAATTTCTCGGTTATTCTAATCGACTTATTCGTCATGTTTTCACCGTGACGTCACCGAAAAAAGTACCTATCGCAAGTTTAACGACTCAAAAAATAACGAAACATAATAATATATTAACGTTTACATTCTATAGTTGTTTTTTATTTCATTTAAAAAAAAAAGGGAAAAGAATTTGTACAATTAAAATTAATGCCATTTTCAATTTTTGACAACGTAAACAATCGTTATCACCGTTGTTATCTCGTTATCTCTTCGCCTGCGACCACTGATAAGCGATCGTTATCACGTATCAGGCGATCAAACATTAATATTGTATCGAATAATTTCGGTGCGGTAACCGTTGGCAACACTGGTTGTCGAACCGCTAACTTTTCTCAATTTTGAAACTGCATAATTATACGTATTTTTTACCAAACCGAATCTTCAAAAAGTACATTGGTTTAAAAGAATTAATACATTTAAAAAATATATAACATTTTAAAACCAATGTTTAACGGTTGAACGAAAGTTTGGAATTTTTACTTGTTAGGAATAAATCTAACTTACAGGAAATGGAAGAGGGTAAACAATTGTTAAAGGCACAATTTTATTAAAAAAAAAAAAAATACTTAAAATACAATCCAACTCTTATTTTGCCTAAAAATAAGGCTAATTTAAAATATTTCTATATTAACAATTGCCTTGTTTATAAATTGGTACCTAAATTAAAGTTATCGGTTATTCGTGATATTCTTAGACCAGAAAAATAATGCATTTTTATTTATCAACAAATTTATTTTCATTTGGAAATATTTGGCGAATAGTGAAGTATAATATATTATTAAAATTGATATAGATATTCAGCATAATATCAAAAAGTGATTAGTCAATCTTTAGGCAGAAAACATTGGTTTTTATTCGTTAGAAAACAAAATTTAATATCAACCAATATACATCAAGCTTAGGTACCCTCAAAATTCATATTTGAGTTAGTAAAATGGCCAACTTATGTTTATCATAAACTTGTCTAAATAAAAGTGACGAGATGAGCTGCAATTGGCTTTTGCTCTGTATTATTGCTGTTATTTTAATTTTTATTAGGTATAACGATTCTATTTTTTTAAGTAGGTATGTGTATCATATGTGTATGTACATACATGAGATAAGGTATTAAATTATAATCTTATTATACACAATACACGTGTAACGCGACCGATTTGTATACATTTTACAGTGTATAATATAATAATTTATAATAGCTAATAAAGTCGCATTTCACTGGTAATACTAATATAATATATACATTTTTATTACGGACAATAACCGTGCGGGGAAAAAAACAACAATAATATCTCATTTTGCGTTTTCTATCATTTTTGGTTTTCGGTACTATTAGGTGAATTGTTGTTATTATTTAATAAAAAAAAAAAATGTTATGATATCGCTTTGCACTAAGGTCTTAAGAACAATATACCAAATATATATATATATATATATATATATATACTAGCCGAGATAGGTTTTAACCTAATCAAAGCTAATAAAATAATAAAAAAATAATAATATTCATATCCACAGTATAACATATTATTAATACGTTTGCACCTGGGACTCTGATAAAATTTTTTTTTATTGTCTTGATTAAAAATTACTACGGTTATAGACGTTATGATTTGAACAGAACATTTATAATAATTATAGTCGATCATGCTGTGCTAAAACTTCATTTTTCAGAAGACTGCAAAAACATTAAAAAAAAAAAAGTAGCCTATAAAATTTTTTGGAAACAAATATTATTAATATACATATTTTTGGAAAACTATAACACCTCAGATTGGACCGGCGATTTTAATTATTTTTGTCTTCTAATCTTGGACTTAGAATGCGTTTTACCAAGTCCATGGTTGTCCACACAGCAAAAACGCCTATTATGAAACGGAAAGATATCAACATATAATTAAAGACAGTATTATAATATCCGATTTTAAAAATAATAACGTGAAAAAAGCTGTTATAGTTGTTTAAAAAAAAAAAAACCTAAACAAATGCGGTTTTAAATCTTCTTCGCCTTGCACTACCAACTACTGTAGGGTTTAATGGGTTTAAATGTTAAATATTAAATTTATTAAAATAAATAAAAATATGACTTGACCAGGTTATGCAGGAACTGATTTCCAAATTTAATTTCTTTAAACAAGTAGCTGATAATTATAAATGAAAATCGGCTTCCTTCATAACATAGTAAAGTAGCCAAAGAACTCGAATCTCATTACAGAACTGAAATTTGACCATCTTATGTAGTCGAAATTCTGTCTGGCTTTTTGATGTAAAATAAATTAAGACGGTTTTTTCTCATAGAACGAATTATTTATAACAAAAATAATACTTGTAAATTAATATTAATATGGTCAAAATGTATTAAACCTCTTTTTTTCTTAAATATTGCCTATATAAAAAAAAACCCCCTTAAAAACAGACTGCATGCAATTCCCTTTAAGAGCCTCCACGCCAGCATTTATTAAGGAGTATTGTATAGGCAATTCTTAAAACTTAACATTAAAGTGAACGTTTTAAACACAGGAAAGAAGTATCTATTTTGATAACATTTTTTTTCTTTCAATTTTTACACCGCATTGTATCTATTTTGTACAAAAAAACCGTATTAAGTTTCTACTTCAAACCTTCAGTTGCTAAGAACACTTTGAAAAAATATTCGATGAACTCTTCGCAACATGTTTTACAAGGTTGTAATGGCCGAGGCACGATTTTGAAATTATTTCTGGTCAAACGATTGTTTCAGATTATTATTTATTATTTAGAATTATTAGAGTGTTGTTTTCCGCCAAAAATATTATGCGGGTAGAGTGATATGAGGCTTGTTTAAGAAAAATGATTTGCCATAATGTTTTTTTTGTCCTTTGGTACACGCGGGAAATTTGTCGGCGCCACCTTGGCAACACTGTCGAACAGCTCATAGACATACACACACATACGCTTGATAAACAGGGCGTGTGTGTGTAAAGCGATTGTTGTGCGAGTGGTGTGCGTAATCATCGTCTCATTGTGCTCTGTAAGTCGCCAAGTCGTGTATTTACACACACACACAAACGCATTTAATAGTATAAAATAATATAATATTAAATAGATTTGTTTTGTTTTGTTTTTTTGATATTATTATTATTATTATTATTATTACTACTATTATCCAGTTATAGTAGTTTTACACGAATTTCCTCGACACCGGAGTTTGTTCCGAGCAAACTAAAATTACAAATTTTTTTTTACACAATATTATTACATTTTCTTGATAAATTTTTCTCCGGTAAGTCTTGTCCGCTTGCTCGTCCCGTAGCGTTTATTTTAGTTGTCGTTGATTTTGTTTTTGTTTTGTCAGTCGTTGTCTGCCGTCCGAATTTCACAAGCCCAGCGGCGTCGGCTCGCTACCGCTGCTACTACCGACTGCCGCCGGTGGCCACCATCATGTCCAGTCTCGCCGTGGTCCGGTCATAGCGATCCGCTATATGTGTAGTCGCTCGTCCGTCGCTGCTCGACGATGCGCGAGTTCAAGGTGGTCGTGTTGGGATCCGGCGGCGTGGGCAAGAGCGCCCTGACCGTGCAATTTGTGTCCGGCCGTTTCATGGAGAAGTACGACCCGACCATCGAGGACTTCTACAGGAAAGAGATCGAAGTGGACAGCTCGCCGTGCGTGCTTGAGATACTCGACACGGCCGGCACGGAACAGTTTGCCAGCATGCGAGACCTGTACATCAAGAACGGACAGGGTTTCGTCGTCGTCTACAGCCTGACCAACCATCAGACGTTCCAGGACATCAAGCCCATGAAAGAGCTGATAACACGGGTCAAGGGCTCCGAGCGGGTGCCCATACTGTTGGTGGCCAACAAAATCGACTTGGAACACCAGCGCGAGGTGCCCACCATCGAGGGCAACACACTGGCCCAGATCTGGGGCTGTCCGTTTGTCGAGGCCAGCGCCAAAAACCGTACCAACGTCAACGAAGTGTTTGCCGAAATCGTACGCGAAATGAATTTTAGCAACGACAAGGAGAAGAAGAGCTATTGCTGCTGTACAGTTCTATAAGCCATATTTATATACACATTTTATTTTTACAATATCGTTTTCGTGTGCAAATCGACGTCGAATGCCGCCGCTGTAGATTTCAACTTATCGGGTAAGGATTGTATTACTATTATTATTATTATTATTATTCGGTCTTAATACATTTATACGTAAGAATGCCGTGTACGGCTTGGCGTTGATAACCTAATTGTAAATAACATAAATAATGATACGTTTATCTCGAGTTATTATATATAAAAAAAAAAAAAATTCACGGAAATTATAAGTGTTAATTTATCCTCGTTATAACGATAGGACGACTTTATGTGATTTGCATTCGTGTACGTTCTATATGATAAAATAACACGGTTGATAATATTGCGTGTATTTTATTTATTTACATTATTATATTATTATGGTACAACGACTTTCATTGATTTACTAAACAGTGACTCATCGTATTTGATTGAAAAAATTAACATTAAAAAAAAATCCCTACGACTATTTCTGATGTCCAATCGAGAAACATGCAACTGTGTTACTGTTGGAAAAATATGTGTTACAATGTCGTTTTTGTTTTTGCCGTAAGCTTACGAGAGATAGTGTTGTTATTGAGTTAGCGGCTTGGTAACATAAAAAATTTAATTGCCTTTTGAACTCGACAAACTTAATCTCGGTGGGTACGTTTGAACACACAATGTAGGTATGATAAAATTGATTGTGTTTCGTTTGATGCTATTGACTCATTTATTAACAATACTAAGTTGAAACGTGAGAAGGTAAACTATTTTAACGCAACAATATTGTAATATAAACGTTATAATATTATAAATATATTTTATAGTTTTTTTTTTTTACTAAGTACTAAATTGAACTTGTTATACGTAGGTTATAATTTCGAAAATATTATTTGTTGAAACGCCAAAGCTATATTATTATTACGATTAGAGGCCAATGTCGAAAATAATCTCTTCCATAGCATACGACTCCACATCTGTCTTTGATTTTCTTTAGGTTATTTTTTCCATTTGAAAATTAAATTTGTTTAAGTACTTTTATAGACTTTTTAATAATAATATTATGGAAAATTGTTCTGCCACATCGGTATAGTTATTTTAAATAACGCTCGTGACGAAGAAATAAAGTAGTAGTAGTATTTTATTTAATTAACTGTTCAATTAATTTTTCCATTATAAATTTATAATGTCTTAAAAGGAATCTGTATTTTTCAACATATTATGTGCAACGTGCAATTTAGACTTATGTTTGAGCATACTAATCAATCTAGTGATACATTAAAAGAATCGTACAAGTACAAGTTTCATTTGAATTATTCAGTCTCTTCTAGAAGATGAATTTCCTACTTTTTCAATATTATATATTATATAGTATTTATAGTATATATTTATAGTATTTATAGTATATATTTATAGTATTTATAATTGTTTATTGGTCGTTAATTTTTTAATCGGACAATCACAGTCTTCATTAATGTGGTTTTTCTAAATAAATAAAACTGCAACACTTTGCTGTCCAAGTATAAATTTAACTATACAAATTAAGTAGATGATATTTTAATAGGTTAGGTTATATATACAAACAACTTAATTAATAAAATCACATAAAGCGACCTGCCCATTAATTCTGGTTCACTAATCAATCGAATGACATAATTTTTGTGGCTACTTTCTCTATCGAATAGATTTTTTTTGATAATTTGAAAAATCAATTAAACATACGATTCGAATGTGAAAAATAGGTTAGGTTAGGTTAGGTTAGGTTAGGTTTGAAGCAAAATCGTTAGAGGAGGGCATATTATAACACAAGTATTGATCTTATATTATCTTGACATTAGTACATAAACTGTTAAATAATCAGTTAGACTGCCTGAAATTGTACCAAGACGGACGTAGGCTTTCTTTATGATGGGTTGGATATTAAATTAAAATAACTTTCGTACGCCTTGTATGTGTTTGATTGATTCGATTGTAATTTAGTTATCTGTACAATAAATATGTCAATTTATATTAGTCGCTTGTTGAGTAAGTCGAGCTAAGTGAGATTTTGTGGACTGTACATAGTCAACGCCATCGATTTCTTCTTAAGGTCCAGCCCAGGGCTGCTTTAACGTTTCGAATGACTTGGGAAAATGTTGATTGGACTTTTTAAGCTCAACCGACGGCAACGGCGAATAAAAAATCAAAACCAATATTGTCGTGTCCACCGCATAAAATATAATATGTATTGTATTTGTGTGTAATATTATTATGCACCGTAGTGAATCGGAGACCTATACCAGGGGGACGACACACCGTCTGACGAGCCTTGACGGGCGGTTGCACCGTTAAAAAAATTATACACCGAGGTTAATCATAATAATATCGGCTTTTATATTGTAGAAGATAGCTGATAATAGTAGTGAGAATAAAAAATTAAAAAAAAAAACCAGCGGGGGAAATGTAACATGTATGCGTCCGGACGTCATTGAGCGCATACGGATTGTGTACCTATGACTCATCGTCATCGCCGCAGTCCTATGCTCTCTTCTAATCGCGGTTTTCTTCATGTCGAAAACGCCTTTTTCTAATCGCATTTGGAGACACATAATATTATGTGTTTTCTAACTATCCGTTTTCGATACGACGACGACGACGGCGACTATATTTTATAGATAATAATATAATACAAGATTATATTAATGTCAAACAATATACAGGGTGATATCCGTCTGATATGCAAGACACTCGTTTTCATAAGTATTATATTATATTTATGCAATTGAAACAAATGTGTTCCCACAAAGTGCATTTCATAGTTGTTTTTACGCGTAAGGTATATATGAAGGTAAAAACGTTCAGAGTATTGGACAAATATTATAGTAAAACCGTGTGTTATATGTATATTGTCTTACAACAGACGGATGGATCACTCTGTATATCATAATCTAAATCCGATAACGCGCGTGACGGTTGTGTATTTTTCGGTTTTTTGTGTTTAAACAATCGTCGTTGTCGTTAAGTCCGAATTTCGCATTTGGCACTTTGGAAAAATATTAATAATATGTTCTGATCAAAGAAGGAGTAAAAAACCACAACGATGAGGTCTCTCAATAGGAACACAAACGCCTGTGATAAAAATGCGAATGAATATACTTATAACCTCGTCTTCAAAATATTTCTTAGAAAAAAAAAATAGAATAAAAACCACCGTTTTATAAAAATTAAAAAATACCTTATTCAACGTCTGATGTCGAGCTGGACTTTAAGTTTCACTTTTTTTCCACGGAATCGAGGACTTAAAAAGTATACATTTTTTTTTACATATTTTATGCTTTTTTGAAGCTGGCTTTAAGTAATAATTAAGAAGGAATAATTACAAAAATTTATGTAAATAACGTTTAAAAATATTATAATAATTATATTATAGTCTTTGGGGGATGGGGGGTGGGAGGGGGAGAGGTAGGGGCAATACCGTATGGTTAAGATCATAAGTCAGTTTACACAGCTCATACTTACTAATGCACAATTTTTTACATAGAATTTGTTAGGAAATAAATTCGAAAAACTCGGTATCATCAAATTTCATTTGAATTTTTTTATATTATTCAGCTCTAAGTTTAAATAATGCAAATTTAAACAGTATGTACTGATGTTAAGTGTATATAAATATAATTATGAACGGTTATAATAATAATGGTGTAACTGAGTTGATCCATTTCTGTGTGTAATAGTTTTTACTGGCAGTTTGCTTTTTTTTTCCACAACAATAATATTATATTCTGCACGTTTGTCTGTCGTCGTGACGCCTTTTTTGGGCCTTTTTGTACATTATTGTTATTACAACATGAACATTTTTAAAAGAGAAACCCCGAATTCAACCCTCGTACAATACCAAACGGGGCCGGCAATGCCTGTCCGGGTTCGGTCCGTACATTTTTGTGTACCTAAAATAATAATAAAATAGCCATATACTCGTGGCAGGGATTAAGGAGTGTTCCTGGGGTTAGGTCGTCGTGGAATGCCCAAAGACATTATTCTGTTTTCGGCTGCCATTTTCATTTCCTGACACAAGACTAAACATACACCACCAAAAAAAAAAGACCTAGAACTCTCCCCCCTCTCCCGCCACTTAATAAAAAACCGAATATTCAAGTAAAACAAAAACCGGCATACACAATAGAAACCAATTAACCGAATTTACAGTAAATTAAAAAAAAAAAAATATTGTTGTAATTTGAGGCCCCGGTTTAGGGCTAGGAAACATAAAAAAAAAATACTTTAAAAACTATAAATACCCTGTTACTTAAAAAAATGGGCTAAATTTTCCGAAAAAATGCAAAAGAACATTCCGAAAGACATTGAGATAATAATAACACCAACATTTTGATGATATTTTGTATATCATATTAAAGTATTGTATACTATAAAACTTATACTTTTAAACTGTTGACTTTTATTGTAATGATAATCTCGAGTTAAAAAAATAATCCCCCTAAAAAATGAATTCGAAATTATAACGTTTTTCCTCTTTAAAATGGATTTTGGTTTTGCTAAGCCATTTCCTGCTATAATTATATAATCATAGTTTTGTTTTATTAATTAATTTAGTGGTAAATTCCAAAATCATTTGTAATGGCTATAAAAACCGTCGATAAAAATGTCTGCTAAAACCAGAGAAATAAATTATTGATACCTAATAGTGTATGCATAATAATAATAATATATGTAAATAATAAAAACAAAATTATTTATCTCTTTTTTTTTTTTTGCGTTGATTTATTCTTATCTGGTCTGGTTTTTGTTGTGTTTTTTCCTCTATATTTTTCCCGTCTACCTTTTGTGTCTTGTCCGGATCAGTGTGTGGGCAAACTATCTACTCTGGAGGCCCACGTACCACCCTGATTGAGTTTACATAACGATGTATACATTTTTAAACGAAATAATGAAAACAGAACAATATAGTGTCTCCTAATAGAGTCGATTAAATTACAAAACGGGGTCCTAGCTTTAGAGGTTCGTTTTCCCGTCAAGTCCTGTATAATGTTTTATTGATTTCGCGATAGGAAGCTTTAACAATTTTTAAGCTTTTCAACCGTGCACAATATACATGCAA